GATGGACATGACAGCCTTATAGGAAAACTTAAAGCAGGAGATGTGGTAGTTTCCTTCCAGGGAACATACTTGTTTTAGTATTACTCTCTGTTGCCTCACTGGCATTTTAATTAGTTGAAAACTCAAGTTGGTCAATGGATTGCCTCTGATTGTGAGCCCTTGGATATAATCTGGAGATTAAGTGATTTGTAACCCAAATTATCTCTCTGATCCTCTGGCAAAAATCAAACAAACAAACAAACAGGGCAGGAGATTTAGTTCTCTTGGACTGCATGTTAAGGACATGTGGTTTACTTACCATCAGTGTTTCTCTGGATAGAACATCTTTACTCAGAACAGATCTTAGACTGCTAACATGGGCTTCCTACCTTTAAGCGGGTTTTCATAACCATATACATGGAAAACACCTTTTAAAAAGTGCTTTATTCACAAGGTCCAAAATCAGTTCCTAGTTTGTGTGTGCTTACTTGGTGATTTGTTTTGTGTTAGCCTAGAAAGTTTGTATTTGGTTTTTATTTCTATCCAGATCAACTTTCTTCTGCTTCAAGAAAATTTCAGAGAATTTTCCCCTGAAAGTAAGGCTGTTCATACCTTTTTTTCCCCACCTCTTTAGTTTGAGTGTCTTTCTTTTTGTTATTTATTTTTTCTTTTTTTGGCATTCTTTGCCAAGGTTTCAAGTTTATAGTGAGAGGGTGAGGCAACGTTGATTTTGGCAGAACAGTCCAAAGCCAGTAGAGTCATTAAGTGACGCAAGCTTTTGATTTTTTTTCTTTCTGTTAAAGCTCTCTGACACAGCTGGCTATTCTAGTCCCAGAAGAAAGAAGAGAGACTTGCTGAAGATCTGGATGGGACAATAGAACTTAGGGGCGCATTAAAAAGAAGCAGCAAGAGCATCAACAAAAACCTCAGATGATTCAAGCAGGCTTCTTGGCCTTGTGGAACCTTTTGCAGTTGCTCAGAATTTGAATTTTTGGTTCAGAGGATGATGGGACAAGGCAATAGAGGACAAGGAGGGTTATGTTGGATTCTTGTTTATCTGTTTGCCTCTCCTTCCAGTTGGAAAATCTTCACTCCATAAGCATTATCAACAAGCCTGAAGAACAAATCTTACCCTAATCCTGGATGCTGCTGGAGTTGAGGATTACATCTACTTTACCAGGACTTTATGGAGGCCATTCAAGAAAAATAGAAGGAAGCAATACTTAAGGATTTTTCTGTTAGCATTAGTCCTGTGCCATGTTACATTTTGGACATTGTTTGAAACAAGTGAGGGAGGGCTCTGTCATCTGGATCTAGGAGGATACCTGAGTCCCTTGAACTACACAGATGATATTTGGAAGGTGGTAAACTCAAAATCTTCCAACATAAATTTACTAAATTCTGGATTCTCTTTCTTTTTAGAACTTCAGCAGACAGAAATTACCTGCCAAAAAGGCACAAAAGCTTCTCCCTTTTTTTTAGGCTAAATGTGAACAATAATGTCTTGGAAGAGAAATTATTTTTCAGGGGGTCGTGGTAGTGTTCAAGGGATGTTTGCTCCTCGAAGCTCAACTTCCATAGCTCCCAGCAAAGGCCTCAGCAATGAGCCAGGGCAAAACAGCTGCTTCCTCAACAGTGCCCTGCAGGTAAGGGTAATTTCTTTTTGGTGATCTATGACTTTTAATTGCTGATGCTGTATTTCTGACAACTCTTTTTAAATAAAATTATTGACAGTCTCTGCTTGAGATTAGTAATCTAAGATCATTTTTACATTTATCTGTGTGATCTTAGGCAAGTCACTTTATCTCTTTGAATCTCAGTTGCCTCATTTGTAAAAAAAGGGATTAATAATGATAAGAGAAATAATAATAACTGTAACTACTATTTATATGCATAAAGGGAGGTAAATGGACCAGGTGATCTTTCTGTTTAATCAGCTTTTTTCCTGAGCGATCTCTACTGGTTCCTATTTTTCTTTTCTTTTTTTTTTTTCGAGACAGTCTTGCTTTGTTGATCAGGCTGGAGTGTAGTGGCACAATCACAGCCTACTGTACCTTGACTTCCAGGGCTCAAGTGATCCTCCTGCCTCTGCCTCCTGAGTAGCTGGGACCACCGGTGATCTTGGTTCACTGCAACCTCTGCCTCTTGGGTTCAAGCAGTTCTCGTGCCTTAGCCACCCAAGTAGTTGGAATTAGAGGTGTGCACCATCATGCCTGGCTAATTTTTGTATTTTTAGTAAAGACAAGATTTTTACCATGTTGGCCAGGTTATTCTCGAACACCTGGCCTCAAGCCTGCCTTAGCGTCCCAAAGTGCTGGGGTTACAGGCATGAGCCACCTGGTCTGTTTTCTGTTTTTCCTTTTGAGAGGAAGGTGTGTTATCAACCTAGTTGCTTTTCTCTAGTATAGAAGCAAAATTCTTTCCACAAGCCAAAGACTTTAAGGTATGTTAATCTCGTCTCTTAATATTCAGGCTTTTGGCCCACACACTGAATGGAGTTTAGTCTTTGTCCAGTTTATCTCCTCCCTTTGAGCTCTCCTGTCTTGGCTCATAACTGGTGTCTAGTCACATACATTTGAACAGAACTAGGGGAAAGTAAATTCCCTTAATGTGATTATCTTCCCTACATTTTCTCTTTTACTGTTGCTTGCCACTTGAGTGGTCTTAGAATCCCAGAGCTTTCTGTCTGTCTGCTCTGCCCAGTCGGGCCCATAGCATGTTAAGTTCATCCCCCTTGGCCTAATTTTCAAGTAATTTCTTTCCCTTCTTTTCTGCTCTTCAGTGTAAAAGTAAATAAAATTTGCCATCTAAGATAATTATACTTGGGTAAAATATTAGCTGGACTCCTCAGATGTTATGAGAAAAATGGGTTGCTATAAGAGAAGACAAGATATTTAGTATAAAGAACAGTGGTCTTGAACATTAGGAGGAGACCTGGGTTCTAGTTTTAGCCATTCCGTAGACTACTCTTATGACCTTGTACAGATAATAGTGTCTGAGTTTCCTCATTCATAATACAAGAATGTTGCCAAGCTTATCTAGGTAATAAAAGTTTCATGGCCTTTCTCAGTTTTTATTTATTTATTTTTGAGATGGAGTCTCGCTCTGTCACCCAGGTTGGAGTGCAGTGGCGGATTCTTAGCTCACTGCCACCTCCGCCCTCGGGTTCAAGGGATTTTCCTGCCTTAACCTCCTGAGTAGCTGGGATTACAGGCTGTGCATCACCATGGCTGGGTAATTTTTGTACTTTTAGTAGAGATGGGGTTTTGCCATGTTGGCTGGGCTGGTCTTGAATTCCTGACCCCAGGTGATCCACCTACCTTGGCCTCCCAAAGTGCTGAGATTACAGGCATTAGCCACTGTGCCCAGCCTCTTTCTCTGTTTTTAAGTTTTCTTTGAAAACAATCCAGGCTGAGGTGGGTGGATCACGAGGTCAAGAGATCGAGACCATCCTGGTTAACATGGCGAAACCCTGTCTCTACTAAAAATACAAAAAAATTAGCTGGGCATGGTGGCGCGTGTCTGTAATCCCAGCTACTGAGGAGGCTGAGGCAGGAGAATTGCCTGAACCCAGGAGGCGGAGGTTGCGGTGAGCCAAGATTGCGCCATTGCACTCCAGCCTGGGTAACAAGAGTGAAACTCCATCTCAAAAGAAAAAAAAGAAAAGAAAAGAAAACAGTCCAAAAAAAAATTCTCTGCTGGCAAGCCTATAGAAAAAATTTAAGTACTTTCCCTAATTATTACCACAGATTCCATGTAGTTGGGTGGGGTTGGTTAGGTTTTTGTCCTGGATGATGCATATTAGCTCCCTTTCTTCCTTTCTCTTTTCTTTTCTTTCCTTCTTTTGTTTTTTGGCAGGGGTCTTACTCTGTCGCCTGGGCTGGAGTGGAGCAGTGCAGTCACAGCTCACTGCAGCCTTAACCTGCTAGGCTCAAGCGAACCTCCCACCTCAGCTTCTCTAGCAGCTAAGACTACAGACATGTGCCACCACACCTGGCTAATTTTTTAAAAATTGTTTGTAGAGAGGCCGGGCGTGGTGGCTCACGCCTGTAATCCAAGCACTTTGGAGGCCAAGGCAGGCGGATCACCTGAGGTCAGGAGTTCAGGACCAGCCTGACCAACATGGTGAAACCCCATCTTTAAAAAAATAATAATAATAAAAAAGAAAAAAAATTGTTTGTAGAGAGAAGGTCTCACTGTAATTGCTTAGGTTCGTCTTGAACTCCTGGACTCAAATGATCTTCCTGCCTTGGCCTCCCACAGTGCTAGGATTATAGGCATGAGTCACCACACCTGGCCACATATTAGGTTTTTAAATTACTTTTTATCCTGATAATACTTTTGTGATTTAGAAGCAGGCAAAATAAGGCATTAGCATAAATTTGTATGTTTACCCCCTTCTTGTCCATAGTCCCATTTTTATAATTGTTTTTTCTATATTGTCTGTTTATATTGTCAGTTGAAACAATACTATTTATGATTTTCCATTCTAATTTCCAGTGCCATATATAATACATTGTGTGTGCACGCACGCGTGCACACACACACACACACACACACACACATTTCTATATCCATACTTAATGATTGAGGCATTGATAGTTTTGGAGTCCCTATTACAATCATGTTACATGTTGAAAATAATTGTTGCTGTGAGCTAAATTCTAACTTTTGGTATCAAAGCTTTGTTTGCTGCAGATGAGTTGAACCTATTACATTTGTTATAAAAAGGTGTTATTTACTTGGGAGCATAGCCAGTTTCAAGTAACTTTTAGTGTATGTATCTTGAGACATAAGTAAGAAGAAGCTCCAGAAGTGTGCTGTGATCTGGGGCTCCATACTTTTTTATATATTATGACATTAAATGTTTTCCTAGCAAGGGGGAGCTTCCCAAGGCATTATGCTATATATTTCTTTTCTTTTTTTTGATTTAATAAAGTTTTATTTTTCCAAATGTACAGTTGTTTGGACCTATTCATGCATCTTCACCAGCAACTGGAGCTTCTCCAACCTTGGTATTTCTAGTGTAAATTACTTGAGCTATGTCCTTTGCTAAGGAACTCCTGAATGGCTGCCCTGGGCAGGAAGCCTTGAATCTTTAGTCTCTCAGAGACCACAGCTGGGGTTATAAGTTTATAGTTGGGAACTTCCTTGCAGAGTTTGTCATAGGTAGCTTTGTCAAACAAGACTAAGTTATTGAGCTTGTCCCAAACTTTGCCTTTGGACCACTTCTTATTTTTGATCTTGCCCCCAGATTTGTTTACTGGTTCTTTGTCTTTCTTGACTGACTTTCCAGCGTCTTTCTTCTTTTTGTCATCCTTGGGCAGCATCGTGAAGCTTAGAGAGCAGCAGTGAACACTGCAACTGTGCTAAGATGTCAGAGTAAAAAAAAGCACATCATTTCTTTTTTAACTAAAAATTGCAGTTTATTTAGATTTCCTTAATTTTTACCTGGTGTCCTTTCCTGGCCCAAGATTTCATCTAGGATACAACATTTAGATTTGCTTGTCATGTCTTCTTAGGCTCCTCTTAGCTGTGATATTTTCTCATAATGTCCACGATTTGATGATCTTTGACAGTTTTGAGGAGTACTGATCAAGTATTTTTTTTTTATATCCCCCTCCCCTATTGGAATTTGTCTGATGCTTTTCTCAGGATTAGACTAGAGTAGTGGGATTTGGGGAGGAAGACCACAAAAGTGTAGTGCTATTCTCAACACATCACATCAAGGGTATATACTGTAACATGATTTATCACTCTTAATATCATATTTTTTTTCATTTCAGCAAAAGTATAGAAATAATTATTTTTTACCCAATTTACTTAAGGAGGTCACACTTCTTTTAGAAATGTCTAAAAATTGAGAGTTCTAACAAAGACAAAATTCCTCACTGCAGTTCACATTTCTTTTTTCTTTTCTTTTTTTTTTGAGACAGTTTCGCTCTTGTTACCCAGGCTGGAGTGCAATGGTGTGATCTCAGCTCACCGCAACCTCCACCTCTTGGGTTCAGGCAATTCTTCTGCCTCAGCCTCCTGAGTAGCTGGGATTACAGGCACATGCCACCATGCTAATTTTTTGTATTTTTAGTAGAGACGGGGTTTCACCATGTTGACCAGGATGGTCTCAATCTGTTGACCTCGTGATCCACCCACCTCGGCCTCCCAAAGTGCTGGGATTACAGGCATGAGCCACCACGCCCGGCCCCACATTTCTTTTATTTTAATTTTTTTATTTTTTGAGACAGTCTCACTCTGTTGCCCAGGCTGGAGTGCAGTGGCGCAATCTTGGTTCATTGCAACCTCTGCCTCCCAGGTTCAAGTGATTCTCCTGCCTCAGCCTCCCGAGTAGCTGGGACTGCAGGTGCCTGCCACTACATCCAGCTAATTTTTGTATTTTTTGTAGAGCAGGGTTTCACCATGTTGGCCAGAATGGTCTCTATTTCTTGACCTCATGATCCACCCGCCTTGGCCTCCCAAAGTGGTAGAATTACAGGCGTGAGCCATTGCGCCTGGCCCACATTTCTAATATAAGTTTTAAACTATTCTTGCTTTTCTTGTGGACCATTAAAATAAATCCTTATTATTCAGCTTTAACCCATAAATTTCCTCTTCAGGATCACATTTGATGTATGTCATGTCATATTTTCCCTGAATTACCTTCACTTTATGTTCAAATGAATGTATTTCCCAGAATATGACCATTTATTTTTCTTGTTAAATATTTCAGCTTTTTTCACATTTGTTTTAATATACTAGAATGAAGTTTTTGCTTAGGAATAAAGATATCTTCTGCAGTCATTACCTATGTTTGCATGAACTCTTTACTTTAAAATTAAACGATGGCTTTTTATAGAATAATGAAGTATTTTTTATTTCTCACCAGGTTTTGTGGCACTTGGATATCTTCCGACGTAGCTTTAGGCAGCTTACAACTCACAAGTGCATGGGAGATTCCTGCATCTTTTGTGCTCTCAAGGTAACTGCTTCCAATTAGTTTCTTCTCACTACCATTGGGTTGCCAAATGGTCAACATCAAGGTGGTTTGGTTAATCAGGATGATGCTAAAGAATTTGTTACTGAATTATCTACCTGTGGTTTAGTGTAAAAATGGACACGATTGGTTTGCTTGCTTCAAAGAATTGGTACTTGGCATGGGTAGTCTCTTTTACTGAACCTTTTTTGCTTATGCAACTCTATTTGATGTGATAGGATATTATGCAAGTATGCTTATACTTTTTTTGGGGGGACCTCACTGTTGCCCAGGCTGGAGTGCACTGCTGCAATCTCAGCTCACTGCAACCTCCACCCCCTGGATTCAAGCAATTCTCCTGTCTCAGCTTCCTGAGTAGCTGGGATTATAGGCGCATGCCAGCCACAATGCCTGCTTAGTTTTTTTTTTTTTGAGACAGAGTCTTGCTCTGTCACCAGGCACCAGGCTGGAGTGCAATAGCGCGATCTCGGCTCATTGCACTCCCTGGTTCAAGCAATTCTCCTGCCTTAGCCTCCCAAGTAGCTGGTACTATAGGCGCACGCCACCACACCCAGCTAATTTTTATATTTTAGTAGAAACGGGGTTTCACTATGTTGGCCAGGATGGTCTTGATCTCTCTACCTCGTGATCTGCCCGCCTAGGCCTCCCAAAGTGCTGGGATTACAGGCGTGAGCCACTGCATGCAGCCAATTTTTGTATTTTTGATGGAGACGGGGTTTTGCCATTTTGGCCAGGCTGGTCTCGAACTCCTGACTTCAGGTGATCTGCCTACCTCAGCCTCCCAAAGTGCTGGGATTACAGGCGTGAGCCACCACACTCAGCCTGCTTCTGCTTTGAGTATTTATTTGAAAGGCTAATTCTAAATTTTCAATTTAAATGAAACAACTAGGTGTTTTTAGGGAATTAATTTTGTTTGTTAAAGCTAAGGTTAGCAATAAACTCTTCGTATTGATAAATGCCAGTACAACAGACGAGGTGGCACATACCTGTAATCCCATCCTTTGGGAGGTCAAGGTGGGAGGATCACTTGAGCCTAAGAGTTAAAAGCTGCAGTGAGTTATCATTACACCACTGCATTCCAGCCTGGGCAACCGAGTAATGCTCTGGCTCAAAGAAAAGAAAAAAGTAAAAAAAAAAGGAAAAGAAAAAAGAAAAATGTCAGTACTAAAATTTCCCTATTCTCTAGTTTCCCCTTACTACATTTACTTGATTCTTTTGTATTAGCTCTCTACCCCATGTATTGTTTAGCTTCAAGTTTTTCATTTCTGTTTTTTTCTTCCTCATATGTCTCCAAGTTTTTTATTTCTGAATATAATGAAACCAGAGATTTCTTTAGAGCAAAGAAAATGGCCTAAAGTGAGAGATTTCTGACTTGGAGATTTTAGGTATGTCGTTAAAGAGAAAGTACTATGATGTGTAAAGGGGTAATTCCAACATGTAGTTTCCCTGTATTTTCTTGGTCCAGATATATAATGGAGTATTTGTATGTGGATGAGTCTGTCTAATTTCTCAGTAAGCTTCCACAGTCATTTTTGGTATCATAAAGTCTGAATTCTTGGTTTGTTACAGGGTTGCTTGGATGTGATTGTTATATGTTTAATTTTTAATAGTTGCTTTTACATCCTGAAATAGGAATTGTGACTAAAAACTTTAGATTTTTGAGATGAAATCTTACTAGTTTTCCAGGTTGGTCTTGATCCTGGGCTCAAGAGTAGCTGGGATTACAGGTTCATGCCACCAAACCCAACTCACTTTGGAGTTTTAAGTCCATGATAGGCAGATTTTTTTTTTTTTTGCAGACGGAGTTTCATTCTTGTTGCCCAGGCTGGAGTGCAATGGCACCATCTCAGCTCACTGCAACCTCTGCCTCCCAGGTTCAAGCAATTCTCCTGCCTCAGCCTCCCAAGTAGCTGGGATTACAGGCGTGTACTACCACGCCCAGCTAATTTTTGTATTTTTAGTAGAGACGGGGTTTCACCATATTGACCAGGAGGGTCTCAATCTCTTGGCCTCAGGTGATCCATCCACCTCAGCCTTCCAAAGTGCTAGGATTACAGGTGTGAGCCACCACGCCCAGCATTGGTATTTCTTTGTGTGAATAAATTACTGTTGGTGGTTTCTTCTGCCAAATGACTACCTAATGTTGGTAGTCATTTGGATTGTTTCTATTTTTATTTTTATGAACAGTATTACTAAGAACATTTTTGTACATGTTTATGTATGTGTACACATTTCTTTTGTACACATGCCCAGGACTAGGATTGCTAGATCATAGAATATGTATGTCTTCAACTTTTTTAGATAATGCCATTTGTTTTGCAATGTGGTGGTATTCATGTATACTCTGATCACCAGGCTTATTTTGGAAGTTGAGAAAAGACAGTTCTGAAATTTATATAACAAACAGGGAAAAATAGGACACTACTGAAAAATAACAATAAAGTGAATGACTACAGAGTAAGTAGGCTAAGTTATTTATTATTTACTTATTTATTTATTTGAAATAGGATCTTGTTCTGTTGCCCAGGCTGGGGTATAGTGGGGCTATTATGGTTCATTGCAGCCTCGACCTCCTGGGCTCAAGGAATCCTCTTGCCTCAGCCTTCTGAGTAGCTAGGACCATGCTGCCATGTCTGGCTCATTTTAAAATTTTTTGTAGAGATGGGGACTGACTATGTTGTCTAGGCTGGTTTTGAACTCCTGGACTCAAGCAATCCTTCCACTTCAGCTTCCCAAAGTGCTAGGGTCACAGGCATGAATTACCATGCCTGGCCCAGAGTATGCTAAATTATATTGCAGTAACAAACAACTCAAAATCCCTGTGATAAATATACCAAAGATTTATTTCTCATTCACTGAAGATAAGTAGGGAAACTGCTGATTATAGTCACTTAGGTACCAAAGCTACAATCATATTGAATATTATTATTTTTTGGAGACAGGATCTTGCTCTGTCACCCAGCCTGGAGTATGGTGGTACTGGTCATAGCTTACTGCAGCCTCAAACTTCTGGGGTCAAGCAATTCTATGCCTCAGCCTCCCGAGTAGCTAGGACTATACATGTGTGACACCATGCCCGACTCTTTTTGTTTTGTTTTTGTAGAGACAGGGTCTTGCTATGTTACCCAAGACTGGTCTCGGAATTCCTGGCCTCAAGTGATCTTCCCACCTTGGCTTCTCAAGGTGCTGGCATAAGCCACCAGGCTTGACCACCATATAAAATATTAGTTGCTAATCCAGGGGGAAAAAAAGAGGTCTGGAGGGTTTTACACAGGCAGTTAAATGCTCAGCAGGTCACTTTTGCTCACGGCTCATTGACCAGGAGTAATCATCTTGTCC